TGACATCATGATCTGAACTGAAATCAAGACTTGGATGCTTAACTTACTGAGCCACCCAGCTGCCCTCTAAATGAACATTTTTATGTTCATTTATACAGCGACAGAAAAATACTTGCTTTTTCTTATCCCATGTATATTTACTAATAAGTTTAATAATTTAAGGGCACACTAGTAAATATTTTAGGCTTGATGTCTCTATGATTATAACCTCAGCTGTTGTAGTGAAAGCAGCCATAGACAATATGTAAATGAATGAGTGTGGTTATGTTTCAGTTAAACTGCAAGCATGCCTCATTTTATTGCACTTGATTGCACTTCATACATACTGCATTTTCTACAAATTGAGGGTTTGTAGCAGCCCTGCATTGAGCCAAGTCTTATCAGTACCATTTTTCTATCATGCTTGCTTGCTTCATGTCTCTGTGTCACATTTTGGTAATTCGTGTAATATTTCAAGCTTTATCATTATTATTTATTATGGTGATCTGTAATCAGTGGTCTTTGATGTTACTATTGTAATTGATTTAGAGCACCATGAACTGTACCCATATATATGGCAAACTTAATCCATAAATGTTGTATGTGTTCTGACTGTTCCACTGATTGGCTGTCCCTCCCACCCTGCTGCCCATCTGTCTGCTTCTCCTCATTCCCTGAGACTTAAAAATATTGAAATTGGGTCAGTTAATAGCCTTGTGATGGCCTTTAAGTGTTCAAGTGAAAGGAAGAGTCCCACATCTCTTACTTTAAATGAAAAACTAGAAATGATTAAGCTCAGTGAGAAAGGCATGTCAAAAACCAAGATAGACTGAAGGCTAGGTTTCTTGTGTCATTTAGGCAAGCTGTAAATGCAAAGGAAAAGTTCTTGAAAGAAAATTAAAAGTTCTACTCCAGTGAACATGTGAATGATAAGAAAGCAAAACAGCCTTATTGCTGATAATGGAAAAAGTTTGAGTGGTTTTGATAGAAGACCAAACCAACCACCACCCTCCCTTAAGCAAAAGCCTAATCCAGAGCAAGATCCTAACTCTCTTCAGTTCCATGAAGGTTGAGACAGATGAGGAAGCTACAGAAGACAAGTTTGAAGCTAAACAAGAGGTTGGTTCATGAGTTATAAGGAAAGAGGTTATTTCCATAACAAAAAGCGCAAGGTGAAGCAGCAAGTACTGATTTGGACGCTGCAGCAAGTTGCCCAGAAGATCTAGCTGAGATAGTTTATGAAGGTGACTACACTGAACAATAGATTTTCAATGTAGATGAAATAGCCTTCTATTGGAAGAAGATACCATTTAGGACTTTCTTAGCCAGATAGAAGTCAATGCTTGGCTTCAAAGGACAAGTTGACTGTCTTATTAGAGGCTAATGAAGGGACTGACTTTAAGTTGAAGCCAGTGCTCATTTACTGTTTCCCAAATCCTAGGGCTCTTAAGAATTGTACTAAATCTCTAAGTTATAATCCTGGCTCTGCTAATTACATGTTTTGTGAACTTGGGCAATTTACATAAATTTTCAACATCTCGGTTTCCTTATCTATAAAATAGGCATACCAATGTTTATTTTTTTCTGTGTTGGTCTTGATTCGTAATGGCATATGCAAAGTTACTAGCTTATAGAAGGAGTTCAACAAATGATTGTTCATAAATGGTAATGCAGGGATATCATTAATTCTGATGTTTTATCTGTCTCAAAGTTTTCCAGATTTTACATATACACTCCTTTAATTTGTTTAACAAACATTTGAAGAGAATCCATTATGTTGAAGGTTCTGAAGGCTTCTAAAAACTATTAAGGGAATTTAACCGTTATGAGAATGATCAGCTTAGTACAGATAATTTTTAAAATAATTTTGATGGGGACAGCTTTTTAAAAAGTATGGCACATTTTCTTGCCTTTTGAAATATTGATAATTCAGGGTCATTACTGTGATCTTTTTTTTTTATGGTTTTTTTTTTTTTATTTCTAGGAGAGAGAGCGTGAGCAGGGGAGGGTCAGAGAGAGAGGGAGTCACAGACTGAAACAGGCTCCAGGCTCTGAGCTGGCAGTCAGCACAGAGTCCGACGCGGGGCTCGAACCCACGAACCGCGAGATCATGACCTAAGCGAAAGTCGGACGCTCAACCGACTAAGCCACCCAGGCGCCCCTCATTTTTTAAGTACTGAGATGTACTGCCATGATTTGTCAGTCCTATTCAGGTGTGAAAGGATCTTTGTTTCCTGTTATACTTTGAATCTTATTATCTGTTATTCTTATTTGCTCTAGTTGTATCTTCATGTTCTTAGTGTACTTCTCATTTCAACATTATTTCTTTATTGTAATTGATTGTTTTTTTAATTCAGTATAGTTAAATAAATAAATTCAGTACAGTAAAAGTAAAAAAGAATAATGCTAAGTCTGTTCTGCTCATGCTCTATTGGAACAACAAAGCTTGCATGACAGCACATCTGTTTACAACATGGTTTACTGAATATTTTAAACCACCACTGAGACTTATTGCTCAGAAAAAAAGATTCCTTTCAAAATGTTACTGCTCATTGACAGTGTACCTATTCATTCAAGAGCTGCGATGGTGATGAGTATTGTTTTCATGTCTGCTAACACAACATTTATTTTGCATCCCCATGGATCAAGGAATCATTTTTAAAAATGTTTATTTATTTTTGAGAGAGAGAGAGACATACACAGTGGGGCAGGGACAGAGAGAGAGGGAGACACAGAATCTGAAGCAGGCTCCAGGCTCCAAGCTGTCAGCACAGAGCCTGACGCGGGGCTTAAACCCACGAACTGTGAGATCATGACCTGGGCCAAAGTCGGATGCTTAACTGACTGTGCCACCCAGGCGCACCAAGGAATCATTTTGACGTTCAAGTTTTACTACTTAAAAAATACATTTCATTAGGGTAGAGCTGCCACAGGCAGTGATTTTTCTGATGGATCTGGGCAAAGTAAATTGAATTTGTTCTCTATATCCATGAGCTCTGCTTGTTTTTTGTTTTTAGATTCCACATATAAGTGAGATCACACAGTATTTTTTTTAAGTTTATTTATTTATTGTAAGAGTGGGGGGGGGGAAGGGTAGAGGGAGATGGGGGAGAGGGAGGATCCGAAGCAGGCTCCATGCTGTCAGCACAGAGCCCTGTCAGCAGGGGCTGATCTCCTGAGCAATGTGTTCATTATCTGAGCTGAAATCAAGAGTCAGACACTTAATTGCTTAACCAACTGAGCCACCCAGGTGCCCCTTTATCTTTTTCTTTGTGATTTCTTTCACTTAGCATAATGCCCGCAAGATCCATCCCTGTTGCAAATGGTGAGATTTCACTTTTTTTAATGGCTGAATAATATTTCATTGTATATAAATTTGCCACATTGTCCTTATCCATTCATCCATTCATGAGCGTTTAGATTGCTTCTGTGTCTTGACTATTGTAAATAAGGCTGCAATGAAATGGGGGGTGCATATATTTTCAAATAAGTGTTTTAATTTTCTGTGGATAAATACCCAGAAGTGTATTTGCTGAATCATATGGTGGTTCTATTTTTAATTTTTTGAGGAACTTTCATACTGTTTTCCATAGTGGCTGCCCCAATTTACTTTCCTACCAATGGCGCACCAGAGTTCCCTTTGCTCAACATCCTCACCAACGCTTGTTGTTTTTGTCTTTTTGATAATAGCTATAGAATGTGTAATTTTTAAAGAGATTTTTGATAGATTCCTTTCATATTTAGGGTTAAAATCTGTCTTCCCATTTTAATTCAAGTAGGACTACTTTTAGAGGTATACACCAAAGCATGCCTGATCATCTTAGAGAACAATTTACAAAACGATTTGTTTAGTTGTTAATTCCATTAATTGTTTATATGAGGTTCTAATTGGTATGGCACAGTGGTAATAATAGGTAACATTCCTTGGTTTCTTACTACATTTCACTTGCATTATCTATTTTAATCCTCACTAGTATTCAAATAGAGGTAATAGTATCTCCATTTACTAGATGAGGAAACTAAAGTTTAGAAGAGTTAAAGACCTTGACCAAGGTCTTTGAAACTCTAGCAGGTTGCATATCTAGACTTTAAGTCCAGATCTTTTCTGCAGAGCTCTCATACTTAACCAGCTCAGCACACCTGCTCTCTTGTTTTCCCAAGCAACTGCAAGTCATGAATTACTGCTTTAATGGAGAGAAAGTGTCATTATAAAGTAACAAGGCTGAATTAAAAAGTTGCATGCTCCTTATTCTCTTTTACTATGTAGTCGTTTCTGTTTTAAGATTTATCATATCATTTCTAAACATCATAAAATATCTCAGCATAGGGTGGACATTCATAAAAGGATGTATATTTATTGATGAGTTTTTTCTTTAAAATTTTCTTTTTAAAATTGATAATCACATGGTTCCCAAATTAAACTGTGTAAAAAAGTAAATATTGTAAACTTTAGCTTTCATCTCTGTCAGAGTCTACTCCTCATTCTACCCCCAACCCCTGTGGTATCCATTTTTATTAGTTTCTTATTTTTCCAACCATGGTTTATACAGATCTAATCAAAAAGGGCAAAGGATATGTACTTCCCATTCAAAGATGCATTTTTCTACAGATAGAATCTGCTTTTTTCTCTGTCTGCTTTGAATTTTCCATGAGAAAAAAAAAATCTCATTAACAAAATTTACTCTCTTTCTGGTAGTCTTCCTGTACAGTTTAGCACTCTTCTTTGGGAAATCTAATAATATGAAGACGTTTAGGTAGGTCACAGGTGATTTTTTTAATTCCTTAATTTAAATGGGTGAATTGTACTAGATCACAGTATATTTGAAAATTATTTTGACTAAAAAAATCCCTCAAAGCTGGACTGCTCCTTAGTGTAGTCTGTGTTTGTATTTGATTCTGAAGGCATAGTATATCTACTGCGGTAGGATCATTAAAAAAACAAAACATGATCTTTCTAATAAATATTATCCATTTTTGGTTAAATCCAGTGGCTAACTTTCCTTTCTTCTTATTCATTTTAGTTGAGGCAGTCCCAGTCCTACTGCACAGACACAGAATGTCTTCAGGAATGTAAGTAATGATGGCACAGGACGAACCTTGTGTTGGGTCAGAATTAGCAGACACATGACTGTGAATGTTCGTTGGAAATTTTGCTTATAGTTTGTTGTTCAAGGAAATGGTTCTCAGTAATGTATTTCCTACTTAACTATTTCATTTTTTAACTTAAATATTTATTTCCTTCCTCAAAAACAAACTTTGGTCATTGAAGAAAATTTTCAAATCATAGATAAGGAAAAACTTCCAGAATACTAAAAGATAACCATTATTGACAACTTGCTGTAAAACCTTTCAGATCTTTTTCTTGGCAAATATACGTGTAGCAGTGTACTTCTGGCTGGTCAAACTGGAACACCAAGGCTGCTAGCACAAACCTGTTACCCTTTCTCTAGCATCTCTTTTTTTCCTCCATTGGCAGCTTTGGGAACTTGTGAATGGGGGATGGAGGCCGTTCTTTCCCAGGGTTTGGAAGCTTTGAGGCTTTGGCTCTGACATTAGCATTCTCAAGAGAGCAGAGACAGTTGGGAGGTTTCTCAGAGTGGCTTTATGGGCAGTAGTGATGGTAAAGTGAGAATCAGAGCAGGAAGATGGATCCTACATTGTGAATATAGCTGATAGACTTGGTAGCTGTTAGGTGATGCACCTTTTTTTCAAGACACAAATAACCTGAGGGGAGCTAATAACTAACATACAAGCCATAATGATTTGACTCTAAGCATGGAAGTATGACATTAATAGGAAGGTGAAGCCTGGCACAGTTAATTTCAGATATACTTATGAAAATGGAATTACTTTGTATGTGTTGTTTTTCACCACTGTATTATAAACATATCAGTATATATTTATCTTAATAATAGTTACTGACTAATAATCCATTATGGGAATATATCAGCGTTTAAATGATTTCCTTTTATTGGAATCTTAGGCTGCTGGTGTATTTTTTGCTATTACAAATAATAGTTGAACAGGCATCCTTTATATGGGCATTTCTTAATTAAATTGTTTTTACCTTAAAATTTAATTTTTCATTTTAGAGAGAGAGTGTGCAAGTTGGGGAGACGGGGAGAGGGAGAGGAGAGAGAGAGAGAGAGAGAGAGAGAGAAAAAGAAAATATCTTAAGCAGGTTCCACACTGTCAGCACAGAGCCCAACACAGGGCTTGATCCCATGACCCTGGGATCAAGAGTCAGACACTCAAATGGCTGGTCCACCCATGTGCCTCTGTTTTTACCTTTTCCCTCTACTTCCCATTTCTCCCACCCCTCACCCCCCACCTCCGGCAACCACCAATTGGTACTTTGTGTCTGTGAGCTTATTTTGTTTTGTTAGATTTCACATGTAAGTGAGATAATACAGTATTCATCTTTCACGTCCATCCATGTCACAATGGCTGAATAATATTCTGGTGTGTGTGTGTGTGTGTGTATGTGTGTATACACATATACACATATAATACCATAAGTTCTTTATCCATTCATTTGTGAATGGACAGTTAGATTGTTTCCATATCTTGGCCATTGTAAATAGTGCTGGATTGAACATGGGGGTGCATATATCTTTTTGAATTACTGTTTTCATTTTCCTTGGAGAAAACCCAGAAGTGGAATTGCTGGATTATATTATGGTAGTTCTTGTTTAAATTTTTTGAGGAACCTACATACTGTCTTCCATAATGGCTGTACCAATTTACATTCCTATCAATAGTGTGCAAGGGCTCTTTTTTCTCTACATCCTCATCAACACTAGTTATTTCTTATCTTTTTGGTAATAGGCTTTCTAACAAGTATGAGATGATACCTCATTGTGGTTTTGTTTGCGTGTCCTGATGATTAGTGATTTTGACCTGTTGGCCACCTGTGTCTTCTTTGGGAAAATGTCTATTCAAATCTTCTGATGATTTAAAACATTTTTTTAATGTTAATTTTTGAGAGAGAGTTAGAGTGCAGGCGGGAGGAGGGCAGAGAGAGAGGGAGACACAGAATCCGAAGCAGGCTCCAGGCTCTGAGCTGTCACCACAGAGCCCAACACTGGGCTCAAACTCACAAACCAAGAGATCATTACCTGAGCTGAAGTCAGATGCTTAACCGACTGAGCAACCCACGTGCCCCATCTTCTGATGATTTTGTAATCAGATTGTTTTTTGTTACTGAGTTGTATGAGTTCTTTATATATTTTGGATATTAACATCTTATCAGATACATAATTTGTAAATATTTTCTTCCATTCAGTAGATTGCCCTTTTATTTTGTTGATGGTTTTCTTTGCTGTGCAGAAGTCTTAATATGGTGTTATCCCACTTGTTTATTTTTGCTTCTCTTGGTTTCACTTCTGGTGTCAGATTCAAACGATCATTAATGAGACCTATGTTGAGGAGATTAGTTGCCTGTGTTTTCTTATAGGAATTTTGTGGTTTCGGGTCTTACATTAGATCTTTTATACATTGTGAAATAATTTTTGTAGATGGTAAGATAGTGGTCTACTTTCATTTTTGCATGTGGCTGTCCAGTTTCCTAACATCATTAATTTAATTTTTTTTTAAGAATTTTATTTTTTATGGGGTTCCTGGGTGACTCAGTCGGGTAAGTGTACGACTTCGGCTCAGGTCATGATCTCAGAGTTCGTGAGTTCAAGCCTTGCATCAGGCTCTATGCTGTCAGCTAGCTCAGAGCCTGGAGCCTGCTTCTGATTCTGTGTCTCCCTCTCTCTCTGACCCTCCCCTGTTCACACTGCCTCTCTCTCTCTCAGAACTAAATAAAACATTAAAAAAAATTTTTTAAAGAATTTTTTAAAAATTTATTTTATTTTTATTTGAGAAAGAGAGGGAAAGAGTGCATGAGTAGGGGAGAGGGCCAGAGAGAGGGGAGAGAGAGAGAGAGAGATAAAAAAAAAATCTTAAGCAGGCTCCATTCCATGCTCAGCATGGAGCCTGATGGGGGGCTTGATCCCACAACCCTGGGATCATGACCTGAGTTGAAATCAAGAGTTGGATGTTCAGCCAGCTGAGCCACCCAGGTGCCCCTCCAACGCCATTTATTGAAGAGATTGTCCTTTCTGCATTGTATATTTTTGGCTCTTTTGTCATAAATTAATTGATCATATAGGCAAGAGTTTATTTCTGAGCCCTATTCTGTTCCATTGATCTGTGTATCTGTCTTTAAGTCAGTAACATTAGTTATTATACTTTAAAAAAATAAATTCAGCTTTATTTTATTATTATTTTTTCTTCTTTAGAGAAAGAGAACGTGCAGGAGCAGGAGAGAGTGTCAGAGGGAAAGAGAAAGAGAATCTTAAGCCAGCTCCATGCTCAGTGTGGAACCTGACACAGGGCTTGATCCCATGACCCTGGGATCATGACGAGCCGAAATTCAGCACCGGTCACTCAACCACCTGAACTACCCAGGCGCCTCAGTACTTTAGCTTTGTAATAGAGTTTGAAATCGGGAATTATGATGCCTTCAACTTTTTTCTTTCTCAAGATTGCTTTGGGGTCTTTTGTGGTTCTATACAAAGTTTAGGAATGTTCGTTATATTTCTGTGAGATATGCCATTGGAATTTTGATAGGGGTTGAATTGAATCTGTAAATAGCTTTGAGTAGTGTGGACATTTTAACAATCATTCCAGACTGTGAGCATGGAATATCTTTTTATTTGTGTCTTCTTCAGTTTCTTTCATTAATGTCTTACAGTTTTTAACATACAGATCTTTCACCTCCTTGGTTAAATTTATTCCTAGGTGTTTTTTGATGCAATTATAAATGGGACTGTGTTCTTAATTTCTCTTTTTGCTAGTTTGTTATTAGTGTATAGAAACACAGCAGGTTTTTGTATTGATTTTATATGTTGCAATATTACTGAATGTGTTTATTAGTTCTAACATCTTTTTGATGGAGTCTTTAGGGTTTTCTATACATAATGTCATCGGCTAATAGTGACACTTTTACTTCATTTTAAATTTAGTTGCCTTTTACTTCTTTTTCTTGCCTAATTGCTCTGGCTAGGATTTCTAATACTGTGTTGAATAAAAGTGGCCAGAGTGAACATCCTTGTCGTGTTCCTGGTTTTAGAGGAAAAACTTTCAGGTTTTATAGTTAAGTATGGTGTTAGCTTTGGGCTTTATTGTGTTGAGGTACATTTTCACCTTGTTGAGAGTTTTTGTAATAAATGGATGTTTAATTTTGTCTAATGCTTTTCCTGCATCTATCAAGATGATCATAGGACTTTTATCCTTACTTTTGTTAATGTAGTATATATCACATTGACTGATTTGTGGATCATGATGTATGATCTTTTTTAAGTATTGTTGAATTCCGTTTGCTAATGTTTTGCTGAGGATTTTTACATCTATGCTCATAAGGGACATTAGCCTGTACCTTTTCTTCTTGTGGTATCCTTGTTGGTTTTGGTACCAGGGTAATGCTGGCTTCATAAAATGAGTTTAGTAGAATTACCTCCTCTTCTATTTTTGGATAGGTTTGAAAAGGATTAGTATAAATGTTTGGTAGAATTCACCAGTGAAGCTGTGTGGTCCTGGACTTTTGTTTGTTGAGAGGTTTTTGATTACTGATTCAGTCTCCTTACTAGTAATCAGTCTGTTCAGACTTTCTGTTTTATTATGATGCAGTCTTGGTAGGCTATGTTTCTAGGATGTTATTCATTTCTTCTAGGTTGTCCAGTTTGTTGGTGTATGATTGTTCATACTAATCTGTTAAGATCCTTTGTATTTCTGTAGTATCAGTTATAACATCTCTATCATTTCTGATTTTAGATGAGTCCTTTTTCTCTTTTTTTGGTTAGTCTGGCTAAAGGTTTATCAATTTTGTTTATCTTTTCAGAGAATCAGCTCTTAGTTTTATCAGTCTTTTTAATTATCTTTTTAATTTCTTAATCTTTTATTTCAGCTCTAATCTTTGTTATTCCCTTACATCTACTAACTCTGGGCTCATTCTCTTTTTTCTAGTTTTTGAGGTATAAAGTTAGATTGTTTGAGACTTTACTTTTACTTGAAGTAGACAT